GAGCATTTTGGTATACATTGCACACCTATAGATGAACAGGGAGCCGAGATACCAAAGTGGGGTGCCGGCTGGGGGCTAACTGAACTCTAACCCGATTTGATTATAGGAAGCGCTGTTTTGGGAGCCGGGAAGTCGGAAGCCGTTTAAATTCGAGCCGCACTTCTGGGTGGACCGGCTTCACAAGTTTGGCCTTTATGACTGCCTGGTAACGTGCTTTAATGATCATTAGCGACCATCATTTTAGATGACCGACAAAAAAAATTGTTTCGATGTCAAGTGCATCAAACAGTATCCCTTGCTGCCCGACGGCCCTGAGTCGGACCAAGGTAACTGGGTCAGCGGTGCTAGAATTATTACCCTGGCGATTATTTTGTTGCTCTCCATTTTTCATATTTATAGCGAAAATCCACATACTTTATCGGCGCCCCGACGAGCATTGCTGGGTCTCGTTGTACAATCCAGGAGCAGGAGAGCTGTTCCAAAGTTGCATGCAAATCTTTGACGCTGGATATCAGTCCGACAAGCGCCACATCGCGCTACACGACCGATTTGGGCTCAAGGAAGTCATGCAGCTTTTTGAGTGAGTATCCCCCTGGGTTCCCGATTTTTGTTGAGCATTTTTGTCGTTCATTGGGTTCATAATCAAGTTCCTAAAGTTCCCAAGAAAAGTTAATTTTAGAAATGATGCGATGGCGTACGGGCCGCAAGCGTTGCACATCATTCGCCGATGTCCATGTCGCGATCCACGACGAAGCAAGAAAAAAGGCTTTCTCGATTAAAGTGGATCCAATAACCGTTTTTGCCTTTTCGATCCTACGGGTCTAATAAATTATTATTTGTGATGTTAACTTGTCACCACAATGGTAACATGGAAATAGGCGTGAAAATGGGCAGCTTTTGTCTGAAACATCCGGTGTATTCGCTAACCAGAATGAGGCTGCCGCCAAAAAGTTTCGACATCTAAGCGGCTAACAAGGGAACCACCTAAGGTCAAGGTGGCGTATCGTTATGGGACCGAGCCTATTTTGTGTAGAATTTTTTGCTGATTCCGAACCCGCTTTCAATTTTTGCTAACTAGCCCAATTTAAAAAGTTATAGCGATTTTAAGGTCATATCTGCCCACGATGCCCAACTTTTTTATTTTAATAGGGCAGTCGATTTTTAATAGCCTATCTTGTATAGAATTTTTTTCTGATTCGATTGGTATACTTCATTAGTGCGCTACGACCTATCGACGATCGCTTACGGGGTGTGAAATAGGGAATTTTTCGCCATTTCCCATACAAGAAACGGAGTCCATACTATTAGTATCGTCGATTTTTCAATTTTCAACAATTTTGAGTTAAATGGTTCATTTGATAGAGAAAATTTTTCTGAATACGATGGCGATATTCGTTTTTGAGGAATCAGACGGGAAAGGGATGATAAATGACTTTGAAGTTCGAAAATTTGGGAAAAAATGGAACTTTGAAACGCTATAACTTTTTAAATTGGGCTATTTAGCAAAAAATAACAGCGGATTCGAAATCAGCAAAAAATTCTGCACAAAATAAGCTGGGTCCCATAACGAAACGCCACCTTAGTTAAGACCATTATTTCCTTGCTACGGTCAACTCGGCACTTGCTCAAACCAACTTTTGATACAACAACCCTCTGGTCCGTGCGTCCGATCAAAAGTACGGATTTGCGGACCAATTATAGGCCTACGCTAAGCCGCGGTTAGTGGGGCGGCGGCTAGCGGGGCTGCGCGTTTAGAGCCATCACGGGGTTGCAATATTCCTAACTCTCACAAGTTTTTTTTAAAAATGTTTATTAGCGACACTGTTGGTAAAACATCTAACAGCATCTAGAAACTACGTGATCTTCAACATCCTTCCTAATGGAACGCTCGTTCCCGCCATGTCTGTTACCGCGAACGGCACTCCGGTCTATAGAAATTGACGGAGAGCTCTATTTTGTATCCGGTACAGTAAAAACGGTATTACTAATCAAATCCGAAAAACATAGGCATCGGTCACTACCTCGAGTTCCTCAAGGCAAAAGATGTAGGTAAATTGCCCGCTTTCTCATCGCAACAACGTCTCTATCGAGTTTTCTCGCATGGCGAAGAGATCGTCTGTATCAACGCGCCGGCAGCTGGTGACTTTTGTGGGAATTTTCTCACTAACTTTAGCCCCGCTTATAATCGTCATCACAAGGTGTCTAAAATACGCCATCCTCCACTACCCACTGTCCACGTATTTGAAGACCTTTGAATCGTAGAATACTTTTTCAAACATAATGCGGAAACTTTAGCGCCTCGCCGATGAATGCGGTACCCCACTTTCCGTGTGTGAAAGTGAGAGACATGACAAAGCTGAATGAGAATATCGACTTGCGAAGCTTCAACTTTCCATTGCAAAGAACCTTCACCACCTATACGCGGAACACGGACATTCAACTCATCGTGAATTTTCAGGGTGAATATACCAACCCGCTTTTAGCTTTACGGACCGATCGTAATGAGAGTGAAGAATGCCTGTGACATCGGTGGAGAGACATTGAGCTTGGCTGCTGCGCCTTCACAGTGTACCAAGAAGTAACCTAGAAAGCTTTGATTGGACAATTAAAAGAATTTGGTAAAATCAGTTTCTATCAATGGGTTCGCACGATTGACCGTAGGCACCTAAGCACCGTTGCGCCATTTTCCCGCGTTGGGCGCAAATTGCCAAAACTTTGTTAAATCAAACTGCCTGGCGTCGCCCAGGCGCTCGAGAATTTCCTGGACGTGTTTTGGAAAACTGTACAGTACATATAACTGAAAGTGTATATAGCTGCTAATCGACTGCACGCACATAAGATTCTGTGAAAAATGGCTGTTTTAGCTATTAAAATTACGTTATTGTAAAGAATTTTGCCACCTTCTTTGTTAGGGACAATTAGCATACGCCGGAAGTGTAGAAAGCAAGGGAGGGTATGTTTTTCACATTTTGCTGATAGGTTTCAGTAGGGTTATGCAAAGTAAACACTTACTCGACGGGGCCAGGATTGGAAAGCCGCGAAGCGGTTTTTGATCCCTTGGCGTTTATCAAAAATGTTTTAGAAACGTCGGTCGTTCCATTGCGCATGTTTACAATTCTCCTGACGAGTGTTTCTATGCTTATTATATCGAATTCTCAAATGAAGTGGTTTATATGAGCGAAGAGAAGACGATAGGAGGCAGATTTAACTGGGTGCAAGTGAGAATTCTTAGAACTGTCCGATGCTACGCAGGTTACCTGTTACCGTAATTTAAATCCCGAAGTGACTGAATTAATCGATGCGTCGCACTGTTTTTTCGCACAGCCAACTTTTTCTTCAACGCTGCCTAAATTTATTCTTAGCGTTCAACACTTGATGGAAATCTCGCGTTTCAGCCAAAAGATGAGCCGATTGATGGCTGGGATATTATTGCCCATCGAGGGCGCATTTTCCTCGCAACGAAGTTTAAGCTTGTGTACGTAAACGGCATATCCGGGCAGGTTTGTGCAGTTTTTCATGTTTTTTCGGGATCCAGTCACCAAGGCCACGATTTCTTATCAGGCCGGATGAGCGGATTTAAATTTTTCTCTGTGCTCTGCCCTCCGCATCTGTCCACCTCGCGGATGCATTAACAGAAATAATCTTGCTACACTAATTTTCTATGTTGGATACCAAAGGTTAATGCCATTAATTTTTTTAATCAACAAAAGAGGAGTCTTAATCTTTCAACTTTGTAAAAAACCCTCAAAATATCTAGAAACGTGAATAGTTTTTGCTCAGATCTAGCTTATTGGGCCTCACTTACGCAACAAACATTTTTCAGAATAGAAATATTTTCCAAAAACCACAAAATTGCTGATTTTGTTTTATAGCCCTGGTCTCCCTGGGTTAGTATGCTAAATTATGGGTTTCGGTCATTCATCCGATCGAACCTAGGGTTTATTGAAGAGAGTTTTCTTGCTTATAGGGTATGATAGAAGTCAGAAACATTGAGAGCTCGATACAAATAGTTCCCTTACATAGTAAGCGCTTTTCGACATAAAAATGATTCCACAACATCTTTGTAATGCTACAATCGGTTATTAATTGCAATAGCTAACAAGCCTCTAAGCGTGAACTTACGGTATTTACCGTAAAATTTGATAGTTTTTTACGATTTCCAAGCTTCCTATTTCTATTTAAAAAAAATAATCAATCCGAGGTCGGAGGCATGGGGGTCATGTGTGTACATTAATGCAGAAATGTGCAATGATTGGTGCGCCTCGCGCAGATGTGCAGATGGCAAGGGTAGGCATACAGAGGGCTTGATAAAAAATCGTGGCCTTGGGGACCGCGCCCGTTTTTTCGAGATGAATTCGTCAATTCCCCCTCCAACCTCAATATCTTTTTAGATAACAGAAACAAAAATATGTGACTACCTCCCAGAAGGAGAAATCCCAAATCGTCACCTGCGGCTTGGCTGGTTATGGGAACGAAAAGGTGCCATGTACGATCTTTTTTGTATCGGTTAACGGTAGCCATAACTCATTGATACACAAAAATTTACATAGACGTATTCTTGTACTTCAAAGTCACCGATGATGAGATCAAATGTATGCAGTTTTTAAACCCGGGCGTTGGGCGGATCACGTGCTGGGATGGGTCTGCAAACTACTCGATAGTATTGTAAAACAAAATATCTGAACGATCTGCCAGGCTGTGGGCGGAATGAACGGTGGCCTTAGTCGTGTCGACCTTACCGAACTATACCGAGACGATGCGGTACTTTATGAAAAAGTTGAACCATGGACGCTGACTAGCGAAAAGGTGGTTCGGATAACAAGCAACAAGTAACCGTCAGCAGTCAACAAAATATTGTTGGGTTAGCAGATCGTCGTAAATACAGCGTGATTTTTCACTTGAGACTTTAGATCATGAACCCGACCCTATTCGCGGACGGCACTTTCTCTGGGTTTGTGCCAAACTAGTATTAACCACGCGAATTCTAGTCACGTCGGGAACATCCAGCACTTAACAATGCAGCCACGTTCCGATGATGCACATCGCATTTATGCGCAAATTGAGAAAGTCATTGACTTTAACCCGTATTACTTAACGTTTTTGCTGAAACGGAGAGGGCAAGTTGGAATCCACTATGCAGTCGTTGCCGATCAAGAGATAGGCGGAAAATACGGTAGTATATGGTATTATTCCGCATAGCTTAATGCTCTTGGGCAACACTTGGGGGGAGGATCAGACACAGACTTTGATTTTTGTAGCTTGCGGGACATAAGTAATCGATGACGCGCGGGAAAGAAAACATCTCTGCGTCTCGCCCCTGCGCGTTCGTTGCCCAGTTGGCGACGAGCCAAAAAGTCGATCAGGGGTGATCGAACGATGCCGTCGATATCCCTTTAATAACACATTTGACCTGGCCGTTTTTTGCATGGTCATCCAGAAAATAAATAGCCAGTAACTGCTAATTTGCCTAGTTTGCGACTTTTACCATGGACTTCATGTCCCGCTGAATGGCGAATCCAATGTGGACTATTGCCTTCCAACCGAATATAGCTATTTTTCAAAATCACGCGTGCCGTAAGTTTGTTTGCCACTAATTATCCCTGTATCTCAGGTTAGAATCTTTGTCAGAGCTGCATAATGCCATGCTTCGTCGTTTGCAGGGCGACAAGGCGATCGTAGAAGTATCAAATTTCAAAACCAAGTGTCAATTTGTAGTTCGTAATAATGCACAAGCCGGCGCCGGAATACCTTCTTAGAACGGAAATTCCCGTCGTGC